TCTGGCTGATACATCTGGCGAGTCTATACGTATAGTTCTACAGGATGGAAAGTGGAAAGCATGGGATACAAGGTCTTAACAGACACAAGTTTTGGGTGGGCATCGAGTGATGTAGTGATCAAGCATGGCTTTGCACCTGCTGTACAGAGCCGCATTGAAGAGGCAACGAACTGCCTAACAGCTCACTATCTCGCGGTGCATAGAAAGCTGCAGGAAAGCAGACGCTTGCCTACCAATCTCGTTTACGATAAAATATAAATTATCTCAAAAGTGTTTAATATAATTACATCTCTACAAAGAAAGTTCCTGCCGCTGTTTCTGCCGAGCGCGAGAGTTGTCTAGCAAGAAGCAGCCCAAAATTCGACGACAGCTACATTCTGTACTAAGTCAGGTGAATTGCCGAAAACGCGTAAAAGCGCAAATTCTTGCGTCACAGCTTTCTCTTCTGTTAAAGTACGATCACCTATCCCATGTATTTACAGGGTACACTTGGCCATAGCTTAAGAGCTTCGCAGAGGCCTCTGCCAAGCTTGGAAAAAGAGCTTACCTTCTTTTTCTTCTGAGTAATCAATCAACAGATTCTACTCTGCCAAGCTCCCAAAACAACATCTTCCCTATCAATCTTACAACAAATACCACCTTCATGTACTTCCTTCAGTGCTATCTCTGGGAATAAGACTCGTGGGAAAGATATCACCCCATATAAAAGAGATCGTATCGAACAGGCTTATTCTGATGGCGTAAAAGCCAAGGGTATTCAGACCCTCCTCAAAGTGTCTCACGCAGCCGTACGGTCTACCCTCGCCCTCACACATCTCCGACCTGAAGGACTCTCAACCTCGTCCTGGTACTGCAAAGACTTACACTATACGAGACCTGTAATCGCTCGTTAGCCATATTATTAATAGTCCAAAGAATACATACCAGGAAGTCCGTGAGGCTCAGGGGATGAAATAATCTGACTCTACTATTAAGCGAGAGTACGAAAACACAATATACGCAATTGGAGAGCTAAGAGGGGATCTGAGCCTACAGAATAACACGCTGCCGCGAGACTTCCTTGGTGTATACGACATCGGGATATAGTTCATAAGGAATGGTAATATATGTGAAGTGGCGAGTGCTCGGTAGAGCGGGGGCTGGGTAAAAAAATCAAGAAATGGTATTTCGTACTCCTGCTCAGAAATGGAATCGATATATGCTTCAGACCTATACAGCGGCGAAAGGTTTGTCAGTTATGGTCTGGGGGTGCTTTTGGGATCACGAGAGGTCGGATTTGTATGTTATGAACCGAGATTCTAAGACCAAGCAGCATGGGTACTCCGCACACTCATATATCGAGGTCCTGAATGCACAAGTTAGCCCCTGGTACGAGGAATTAGATGATCCGGGCTATGTGTTCATGCAAGATAACTCCCCGATCCATACTGCCTATAAGGTCCGGGATTGGCTCTTAGAGCATGGCATAATTCGTATCGATTTGCCACCTTACTTCCCTGATTTTTGAACCCAATCGAGCAGATCTGGGATCTCCTCAAAAGGCTCCCTACAGAGATGTACCCCGAGCGTCGCGTGGGTTCCTAGATTGGAAGATTATGTTTCTCCGGGTGACTTGCCTTGGTCGGCATTTGCAGATAATAATCCAGGTGCGATGTGCTGAATTACACAGGACTTCGGTGGTTTTAGCGACGCCAGGGAACTGAAGACGGACTTGTGGAATTTGTATGTATATAAAATGTCTTGATATCATACACAAACATCGTCTCAAATCAATGCATCAAGCAATCACAGTATACGCGCTGAAGCTCTCCAGAGATTCTCAGTTCAGATGACCACGCTCTCAGTTTCCAAACGACATCTTATGCGCCACGCTCAGTAGTCAATGGTCTTAAGTCGGCTCACCAGCTTTTCCGGCAGTTCCTCTTTCTTGACCAAGCCCGATCCGACCACATCTCCCCAGAAGAACATGGCACGATCCTGCGCATACGCAAGGTAATCAAACCCATCTTCTCCATCAGGATGCTCCTCATGCTCCGTGCCTGCAGCCTCAGCAGCCGCTGAATCTTCGGCAATCTTGACGCTATCGATCTTTGGCACCACATCTTCTTCTTCGTCAGCGGCTTCGCACATCTCTGCGCCAGCAAGTATCTGGGCAGGTTCAGTCTCATCAGCTGACTTGGAAACGTAGAGTTCTGGAACCTGTGCTTGCACGATTCCCCACGCGACCCATTGTGCTGAGTTTGCGATACGCCAGATGCGGACCTCCTTCAGCAGCTCATCGACCTGGAGATCAAGCGCTCGCTCTCTCCGCGCCTCCTCTTCTGCATAGGAGCTTTCTACGGGATTCGGGGTGCTGACGCCTCGACTTCTAGAATCAAGCAGGAATTCAGAGATAGAATTTCTTGGCAGGGCGTCGATGGGAGACATCTTGGGTGTGGCGGAGGCGAGCGGGTTGAACTGCGGTCTGTGGTTGAGATAGCTGCGGATGAAGCGGCGTTGCTCCTCCACGGTTGGATAAGAGGTCGTGTCACAGGCCCAAGACTTTACCGGGTCGTGGTAATTGTAGCACCACTCGGTAAAGTGATTTGCGAACTCCAGACCAGGGGTGTTTGCGCATGCATACTCGAAGTCGATGACAACAAGCTGCTTGTGCGTGTTCTGTGGCAGCAAAAGAGGAGATGGCGCTGAGCCGGCCTGTGTCTCAGGTATAAGGCGGAGGATATTGCCGTATTGCGTCTGCACACATATATTAGCCAATTCTGTGATGAATGAAGGGTTAAGAGTATAGTACGAACATCATTGTGTGCAAATACTAAATTCCTGTTTACACCACCCTTTTCCTTATCGTACCACTCATTTACCCACTTGCGATAATTATCGACCGCAGTCTTGAATTGCTTCCACTCCACACCACATACTAGTCCTCGGGTTCTCCAAGGCTCATTCTTTCCTTTATCGCCACTCAGTATCTCCTTGTCCAGATATGTGATCACCTCTTCGCATCTGCCAACCCATTTGTCCCAGTTGCGCCACACAAATGGTCCTGCCTGTCGCTCTTCTTGCTCCAACAGATCAATACCGTCGTGTAGCTCTCTCATACGCTTAGCGATCTGCTTACTAGTGTCTGGAACTCTCAGATCATCATAGGTCAGAGTCTGTGCATGGAAGAACTCCTCAAAGCGGCCATTCTTGAATGTTCCTAGAAGTCTTGGACCAATCTTCTTTCGTGCAAGTCGTCGAAGAATGCTGAGTTCGACCTTCCGGTCAATTAGATGCTCCACCTGTGGTCCGTATATGCGCAGAAGGAGCTTAGGCGGCGGCTTGTACTTGTGCTCTGGGTTGTTCGGGTCTGAGGGAAGCTCTTTCTGAGGCGCTACCACGTAGACAGCATTTGTAAGAGCACCACTCAGCCTCTCTACTTCAATATCTCCACCGCTTTCTAATGGCACTCTCCTCCAGCCTTTCAGGCGCAAGGTATGTGCAAGCTTAACGATCTCATTTTTGAAGGATAACCAAGCCTTTTTTTCCTTCTCCGCCTTTCCACTGTTGCTCAATGTGATCGTTTGCATGGAAGAATCTGACCCCCCTCCGCTATAGGACATTGTCTTGGAGTTGTCCAGCACCACGTCGCAAGAAGGTACAACAACGTCTCCATCATGATACTCTGTGTCTGAGCTATGTGGTTTCCGTACGTAGGACTTCCGCCGTCCACTTGCAGAGGACATAGCACGGGAACTTTGCCCAGATATAGCCAGATGTGGCTCATTACCATGGGTGAGCCCAGCTATGCTTTCGTCTATTATGCGCTGCAGCGATTCGAGCGAGATTGAGCTGGCATCCGATGCCTGGCTTGAGCTTCTATGTCTCGCAGCTCCCCGTTCTACAGATTCTCCTGCTTGCGCCTCGCCTTCTGCGGGTGGGTGCTCCTGAGAATGGCGCTTCTTGGATTTCTTTGCGGCACATTTTGCCTTTTCACGTTGTAGCCATTCCGACACCTGAAGAAGCAGCTTATCGTGCTGGTGGGTGCGCTGTTCGTGTGAATATTTGCGCTCATGTCCTTCTCTATAGTGGTCACTCATATCCTCCGCACTTGTGTTGCTCTGGAGCGATAGTCGCGAAGATGCGCTGGACGCCTGCATGATTGGACGCACTCGTTTGGATGCAACACTGGCAGCGAAATGTTTTCGAGTGCTATCTTCAAGTGATAGAGGTGAGGATGTAGGGTCTGGCTCGGCTATCGACACGACTGTTTGCTCTATTAGATTGGGTTTACAGAGGTGAATTGCATAAGTCTATGGCGGGAAGGTCTGAATGAATAGCCTCACCTTTTGTTGGGCCGGTCTTGGGACTAGTCGCCTCTTCGGCATCGAACCGAAGGGCTGGCCGTAGAGGGAGGGGAGTGCTGCTAGCACTTTCGCTAGGCGTCGACATAATCTCAAGCCGGTTCGCTTCGTAGATGGGATAATTTCTTACAGATAGACCGATGAAAGGTTGCAATGTGGCTTTGCCGTGAGGCTGTAGCAGATTCTACTTTAAAGATGCTCTGTTCTCGTAGACTCGAGAAGAGGGGAACGTGGTGGGAGAGATGTTCACTTTAAAGGGTTGACGATAAACCCCCAATTTCTGTTGGCAAACCAAAGCGGCGGTCACAAATGATGCATGTGATGTGGCTAGCACAAAAAGGTAAGCCACAAGAATCAGGAACAGTAAATTGTGATAGAAAACCCATACAAAGGTCTATTGTGCTGTTATTATGATTCTATTGGCTGAACTGTTTAAGATGGTGCTTTCCTATTGCTATATTTCAAAACACTTTTAGATAGGTACCAGCTTCCACCATGTGATTGGGAAGCGTCAAGTCTCGCTAACGGCATCCAACCACACATTGTGCGAGTCAGCTCCCAAGCAAAAAACGAAGCTTTTGGAAGACTTTAAAGTGCAAAAAATAAAAAGCGTACAAGAAGTCTGTAATTAGGAGACAGAAGTGCAAAAACTAAATGCTCCCTCGGGTGGGCTCGAACCACCAACCTCTCGATTTGTCTGTGTTGTAACAGTCGAACGCGCTAGCCAATTGCGCCTGATAATGAACGTTAGTTGTTAAATTTATCGATGACAAGGACGACTGGATCTACTAACCACGAGGGAATCTGATCTTTAAGAACAGGTGGAATGTAACCAATTTGAAGTAATCTTTCGAAAAGGAACTTTATATACCAATACGCTAATGTGGCAGCACCGAAAATTAAGACTCGCACACTCGCCTAAGGAACTATGGATCTTTTCTCACTGGTGGAGCACGACATCCACTAAATTCAGCAAGTGGTAACCCGGTCAAACCTCCTAAATTTTAGCCTCAAATTAGAGCAAAACGTATCTCTACTTCAGGAATATCTTGTAGCAAGTTGTTTACTGAACCTATGACTGTGGAAGTTTCATTCTATGGCCAGCAGTTGACAGGGATGCAAGCGCAATTCAATGTTTTGAACACTGCGACTTTATCAGATCTCGATAGTTATTAATACTGTCGAGAACTTTGCCCATAAGAGTTGACGATTTATTCCCATCTCCCTCGACCGCCTTATCTTTGTTCTGCAGTACACAGTTTCCTCGTCAAATCCATCATCGGCAGTTATCTAGCAACGATGGGCCTGATCTTCCTGCTTTTTTCGTATAAATAATTTCCATTATGAGTAGTGTTTTCTCTGCCGTTCGAGGTGGCATGCAATGGATGAACCTTAGTGGGCGATGGACATCGGAGAAACATCATGAGGGAGTGAAGTATTACGTACAGAGGACGTCCTTGAAGGACCATGGGTTTCTATCGGGGCCTCTGAATGGGTGTCCGTAGTGCTTAAAAAGTTTTGTGCGGAGAGCCAGTTCTGGGATATTCTGCCGGCTCTGAACGGAACCTGGAACAGCGATGCCTACCATGCCCAGATGATTTGGGCATAGTTCGCGAACAACAACATGTCAACGTAATCTGAGGGCTTGTCCTACCTATAGATGCCATCTTTAGCCATGCTGATAAGATCCATGAGGTGAATGGTTCCGGGGCCCGGGTTGAATTGGCACCGGTGAGGTAGCCCAGCCTGAGTAATACGATGTCTCATATTGACCGTTTGTGGATGTGGCAATAACAATTTGGGCTAGGAGAAATTAACAATAATAGACAAAGAGGAGTGCGGAGACAGTACAGCAAAGTTGCCTTCTGCGTTGAACGGCTTCGAGGGTTAAGACGATTCCGGAATAGTAAAGTGAACCTACCGTAGCTAGAAAGCAAGTAAAGAGTAAGGCGAGTAAGGTGAGTAAGGCGAAAGTTGAGAACACGGTTGGTCAAGTGTAACTCTTGATGAGCAAAGAGTGTAATCATTCAAATTTGTGAAGTGCGGTTGGGTTCGATGCTCTCTACGGAGGAAGGATTGAATTCGGCTACTGCCACTTGAGGAAGGAACGTCTCATAACAAAGAGTACAGTGTAGAAATAAAGGCCCGGTTCTGTAGCAGTTCACTTTGGGAGCTACAAAATCTATTTGATAAGGAGCTAAAACTAGCCTCCAGTAAAACATATAAGGCAGACAAGAGGGTGCATCTGCGCTAAAGATTCTCCCATCCAGACTTTTCTGAACATTTTATCTCTAGGTTATGTCCTGCAAATCGCCATAAGTTCTCATTAATGTTTGTTATTGCAATCTCGGTATGTGGTTCTCCTGGTAGATCTGACACAACAACCTGGGCTAGACCCTCACTGTCACTTGGAAAACATTCGGAATTAATCACTTTGGGAATAACTATTAGCTACATACAACAAGCTATGCCCTAGGGCATAGCCGTGCTACATAGCCTTAGGCTGACACAGCACGTCAATGGAAGGAACAAACAAACAAACAAACAAGACACAACAACCGGTGGTATCAAACTACTAGCTTCCCCTCTTACATGACCATGCGTTCAAGGCCACTGACTTAAAGTTACCGGAAACTTTTTCAACGTGCAATATCGATGAACGTATATAAATTATGGGCATGGCAAATTTCTCACATGTTTATGCTGACACCCAACTCCAAATACATAGACTGCCAGATTACTTTGCTGTACTAGTAGCAGGAGCGCTCATCCACTGCGTCGTCCCGGTCCCTGTTATGGCAACGCTTGTAGCAACATACATATTATACTGGACTCTACCGCCCCACTTGGAACTTGTATCTCCTTTGCAAGGAAAGGTACACGCCCTTGTACCCACCAAAGTCGTCGGCTCAGGAGTTGGAGCTACGCTAGCAGCATAGCATTCAGGACCATACTCAACACCAATATATCGGTAAGCTATCGCTGGAACAGCTGAAAGTTGTGCAAACGCAGACGATATGCAGAGCTCAGGCGTCATGCTGTCATTGCGGAAGAGCTTTAGCATACCGTAGCTATTATATGGACCAATGGTATCGGAGGAACAGCCGATGGAGGCGGAACCTAGGATTGCCGAGACTGTGGAGGTGGTTGATATCGTTGACGATTGATAATCTGAAGAGGTTGGTACTACTGAGCTACTTGAAGACGAAGCAGAAGTGCTCGAGCTCGAGTCAGAGAGTGTTGTAGACAGGCTGGATATAGTGGAGCTGCTCAGAGTGGACGATGAAGAACTGATTGACGTGGAAATGCTCGGATCTGTGGATGGAGTGCTGGACTGGCCCGAACTGCTCAAAACCGTGGACGTGGAGGAGGAACTCGAGCTCGATGATACAGTAAGGTTATTGTGCAACGTTAGTAGTGAAGATCCACCGCACTATACAATTGTCAGAATTGTCATCCGCTGTTGGTGGGAATAGCCTACGATCTGTAGCGTGTTCGCTATGCAAGTGAGGCTACAATATTTTGTTGTCACAGTATTTCGAATACTGTTTGGATTCAATGTATTACCACAATAACCTAGGAGGATTTATAAGTATTGCCCCCAAGCAAACCGGTTCTCTGAATCAATACTCACACTCCCTTCTATATTCAAGACCTATCCGAATATAACCAGCACAGAAGTTGGCACATATGTCCACGGACATATTATCATTCTTCAAGGACTTGGCAGTCAATGCTCTTGCGCCAGTGGGTTCTGCGTAGCAGCCAACATGGGAGTAAGGGCCCACCACCTACACAACTCCAGTTTTTGTGGGTGCACTCGATGATTGTGAAGAGGTTGTAGAATCTAGGCTTGTAGTCGTGGTTGTCTGCATTGAATCATTAATTAGTGAAAATATCCTCAGAGGGTGTTCACGCGAAGTCGCGATCCTGTAAAGAAAAGAAGTAACCGAGCTTGAAATACTCGGGGAGACCGAAAGCTGAGATGTGGTCTGCGTCGTAGATTGTGCTGTGCTTGTGATAGTCCGACTTTGAGAGCTGCTTTGAATACCCTGTGAGCTAGACTGTGCATTACTTGAGATTGAGGAGCTGGAAGAATCAGGAATCGTGTCAGAACCAGGCGTGTATTTTGTACTATCGTAGTAGACTGAGATATATGTCCCGTCACCACCGCATGCTTGGTTTGTGTCTCCAGGACAGCTCCAAGCACATTTCTTGAGCGAAGGACTTGTGTCATGATATAGGTAGGAGGCGTATTGCCACACCAACATTCGGTATCTGCCCCATGCTTTAGCGGAGTGGTACACAACAACGAATGGGAGACTTACGATATTTTGTACCAGCAAATGAGTAACCGAGATTACAATAGGACTTTTGGCAATACTGTTACAAATCATTATTGACTGCGATGTCTCAAAAGTTTCGAGGAAATCAAATCATGTTAAAATTGACATACGTCGTTATCATTTGTAGAATCGGTCAGCTTCTTGGTAAAGAGCCGTCCAGATCCGTTACAGTAGCAACCAAGATATGCGTATATGGCTGCCCCATCAGGTAGCAGTGATCCAACTTGCTTTGTAATGATATTAGCAGTAACTGCAACATCGCGAACACCAAATGTTAGATTACTGGAAGTAATCAGCTGGGAATTTCATCAACAATACATCGGGCTACGCAATTGACGTTCAGAATCCAGAAGTTGAACACCTGATGCGAAGGCATATTCAAACCTATTGTTGTAGTAACAGTCGATACCTGACCTACCGCGCAATCATCGACGTCTATCGTCTGGCCCTCGTGAAGATCCGTTGCACTATTGGGAGCGAGTAGCTCCGTCTGGATGGGTAGCTTAGGTTTTATGATCTGGAGCGCTGAGCCGCCGTTGTTGCAAATCTATATGAATCTTGATAGTATAGTACCAGCAAGAACATTGCCGAAGTTCATGGCAATAGGCTCAAAATAGTTTCATCCGCCATCGGCGGTCAAGACTGAGATATTGGCGATGGGTGCCGTACTTGCAGATGCTGCGAGCAAGACGTATGCTTCACCGCCAGTGGTCCAGCAGTTAAGAAATATTGAGTAAGGTCAAATTTCGTTGGCTAAAAACTTCAATGGTACTACGATTGATTGGCGAGGGGCCAATGTATCTTCAGGACATGGGAGACTGGAAGAGCTGAAGCCATCACCGATATCTCCACCTGTAACATTGTAGGAAATGACCGGCTTGTCACTCTCTCCTTCTGCATCTATGTCTTCTGTCCAAGCCAAGCCTTGGAAAACCAAAGTCTCTACGCCCACGTTGGACAACATTACCGTTGCTGATAGACCTGAAATCGTTGCGTCTGATCCAACAACAATACGGCCAAGATCCCATGCATCACAGTCAGCTAATCTGTGCTTGAGCTGGAACTTGTGGAAACAACACATAGGTAATATTCAAACGCTAGTATATACATACCACAGCGGGTGGCGATATTTAAAAAGGACGACTTTTGCGATATTGTACTGCCAGTCAGAGAGACCGGAAGGATTGTGCTGTACTTGGCAACAGCGTTTGTTGTAAAAGGGTCTAAGGGAGTACTCTGTTTCCCAGGAAGAACTTTGCCAAATGAAGCATTCTGTGCATCATTGATCGAGGCTTACGTCAAGTTCCAGGTAACGGAAAATCCGAATTTGGCTCCTTGAGCAAGTGATCCTTTGGGCAAGGTAGAATTCGAGCACTGGAAAGTTGCATCCTCAGTCATG